CGCGACAACGAGTTGGAAAATGTGTGGGAAAAAACACCTGCTGAGGATTATCAGCAGTTATCAACAGCTGCCATCAAACCATTATGTGTGTGTGTGTGTGTGTGTGTGTGTGTGTGTGGTCTGCGGGTGTTTTGGCACATTCAGCGTTGTATACCTCACACTCGTTGTATACCTGTGACGCTCCTGCAGGCGGGCATTTTGAATCTTTTGTGCAGCTGAAGTTCATAAAGTTCATCCGGCTGCAGCAGCTGAAACTCAGAGCTGTGCGTTGTTTAATCCCCCGTCGAGGTCGTTTTGTAATCCATGTTGTAGTGAGAACGTTGCCATGAATTGAATTTCACATTAATTCCTCAAACTATGCGACCCGTCTGAGCCACAGGGTTTAAGACGACTGAGCCCGGGACATTTCATCTCTGGCCGAGGCTGAGAGAAAAGTTTATTTTGTCCCGAGTTTCTTAAAGTCGGTGTTTACTTGTTTTTTTTTTATGTATTTATATTCTAAGAGAAAGTTTATCAGTAGTTGGGATCTTAAGTTCCTGAAAAAAAAGTGTAATCTAAAAGAAAAACAAACAAAAGCCCTGTCTCGATATCCACACATCTGTCTCTGTGTCCTTTACTTGTGCGTTCCTTCTTAAAGGTGCAGGACGGTAGGCTGTCCCAATTCTCTAAGGTTGTTCTCCAGGGTTGCCCTCATGCACCCTAAGGCCGCTCTCTCGTCCGCTTCCATCGCTGCAACACACTGTTGACCTGATAACTGCTATCATATCTGACAAACCGAGGGGCGTCCAAAACGGCCGTGTGGGGGGTGTCTTAAAAGCGCCTACCTTCTCTGGTCCAAACAAATCCAGAGCATTCAGGAGCAGAATCTAAAGTTAGAAGGAGGACATACTGGCTGCTGCATTGTTGTCAGAGAAGCCAGCACTTCAACATAGCATGTTTCCTTAATGATCAGATAGTAAGATACCTTTATCATCTACCTCTCTACTTCAGTCACTAGGAGGAAAAGAATCGTACCTGATGTGACAAACAAACCCTACGATACAGGAGATGCTCAGTGTGACAGACATGATCATGAAATAAACATGTTTACATCAGCGTCCCACCATGAGGGTTGTTAAGGGTTAACTCTTAAAGCCCTCATGTACCGCAGCCTCCTCCTTAACTATCAGAGTCATGATCAGGTATCCTGGATCTCAGTTTGTTTTACTTCAGCATGTTTATGTGTGTGTGTGTGTGTGTGTGTGTGTGTGTGTGTGTGTGTGTGTGTGTGTGTGTGTGTGTGTGTGTGTGTGTGTGTGTGTGTGTGTGTGTGTGGGAGCAACTCTCTGCAGCTATTATCTCCTGTAGAGGAAACTCCCTCCAGTTTTGGTGAACATATATCATTTTCTGTGATTCCTGCAGGAGGAGGCTCAGAGAGCACAGATTAAAACGCCTCTAATGATCGTCTTTGTTTCCTACGGTGACGTCACGCCTCCTTCAGGAACAGCGTCTGTTTGAAGACTTTTCTTGGCGTATTTAAACGAGTTTTGTTTCATAGTTTGTCGTCTTGCAGGTGTCTGATGGGTCAATCTGTAGAGGTCGTGTTATCCATGAAAGGACGCTGACTCACCTCTTGTACTGTACATGTAAATATTTGCCCCAGCTTGTTCCCGCGCCTCGGCTCCCCCCCCGTCCCCCCATCAGGACAAATTGTAGTCCTGCCTGTGCAGCGGGGATCTACCTTCTTGTCAGAGCACACCGCCGCAGTGGAAAAATCACGTCAGTGCTCGTGAATGTCTGATAAAAATGCGAGCCGCATCAGGGAAAGTCCTGTCTCTGCCAGCTGCTGACATATCATCTTTAACACGGTGTGGTGTGCTCCCCCTAAAACTGTCTTTGTCAGCGAGAGGTCATGACCTCAGGAACGCACCAAACATTCAGCAGCTACAGAGTGCAGAGAGGCTGATGTTCTGTTTGTGAATTTGAGCTCTGACACTGTAAAACAAATCCTGTTAAAATTACATCACTGCTGTGATTTATTAAGTTAAGGAGGAGGCCTCGCTCAGGAGGAAGATAGTTTCTGTTTGAGTTTTAAAGGAATAGTTCAAAAGTCTGGCTTACAAACAGATAAAAAGGTTTATAATTTAGATTAAGCTTCATCCAGAAGCGGTTTATCTTACAGGTTAAAAATCACAAAATCTGTAAAACCACTTCTCCATGTTCCTCTAACACTAACATGTGTCTCTAGTCCGTCTACAAACCCCCAATGATGAGAAAAGTCCATCCTCTCCGTCTTCTGCCTGCTCCACTTTTCAGAAAATGTGTGCTCAAACAGGTCGTTTGGAGATGTTCCCTTCATGACATCACAAAGGGCAGTAGCCCCTCCCCCAGGTGGGTGACACTCCCACAGCTAGGTGTTTGTTCTGCCCTCTGAGTCTGCCTTCTCACCGTAAACAATAGGACACGGAGCGAGAAAGACCGAGTACACCCAAGTCCTTCCAGAGAGGGGGCGTGGTCAGACACAGCTCATTTACATATTTAAAGCTACAGACACTCAAGCCCTTCGAGAGCTGAATGTTATTTGGACAGATTCTGAAATTTTACACGGGTTTGTTTGTTTTCCACAGACTGTACACGGAGGAGGACGAAGCTAGCTGTGTCGAAGCTAACGTAATGTCCCGCCTTCTGTCTTGTGATTGGTTCGTTCATGTTTCAGTAGGAAATACGTCGTAAGATACACTTGAAGCGCCGTTTCATGAGGACTTAAATCGTCTATTGTAGAATAAATGGAACCATATTTGACTAAACGAACATCACGCTGTCACTCGCTCGTTAGGAAAACATTTACTTTTCTTTTACATTTTGTATTTTATTCCTCTGCTTAACGTCTCTCAGCGTCTCTCAGCGTCCGTTTCATTCTGCAAACACACAAAGCGTCCGCAGCAGTGAGCGTGCACTGCGTCTGACCTCGCCTCAGATCTCGCTGTATGACCTGCTGGTGTGTGGCGACGGGGGACAGACGTGACACCGCCCCTCCTGGGAGGTACAACATTCCTGTGTTAACAGGGAGGCCTCAGTCATCACCTCCTCAGTCAGGAGCCTGGAGCGAGCAGTGCTGAGGACGCTCTCCTGTTTGAGTGTGTGAGACGTTTTGTATGCGTCTGTCTCCGCTCACACTCTGTAGCTCTGTCACAGTTATCTCCTCTGCTGTCTGCTATGACGTGTTGGTGACCCACTTCTTGTTATAACAGGCTGCACGTCTGATTTATGTCTTTACATAACATGAGAACCCTCGGCCACAGGGAGGCTTTTTGTCTCGGCGCTGTAAACACAAACACAAACAAAGAAGGCGTCTGATTGAACACAGCGCCACACGACTTACACGTTAAATTACATGTGTGCTCTTTAATCAACGACTCTGCCGTGCTGCTCTGTCTCTGGCAATCATCATGTTAGCACCCATACAAAGTGAAAAACAAAAACAAACAAATAACACCAAAAATCTGTCCCAGCAGTTTTATTTGACATATTTTTGTTACTGTACTGTCCCCATGTTTTTCTTTGTCCTGTTTGCTCATTTACTTATTTTGTCTCTCTTTCTAATTCATTCATTTTTATTTACTGACACTTTTCCTTTTGTTTTGTTTGTTTGTTTGTTTGTTTGTTTTTGTCTAAATCTGCTTGCTAAACAGTATCATACCACAGTTCCCCTCTTGTCTGTGTGTCTTTTTTTAAATATTGTGCGAGTGTGTGCGTGCACGTTTTGGTGAATAAAAGTAAAAAAAAATGCTGCTCTGGCTCAGATCCCAGATGTACCCGTCAGAGCTTCTGATTGGCTAATACTTTTGACCTTTTGTGCCCATATGGATCCGAAATGAGTCACTGAGCAGTGTGTGAAGTTACAGTCTTCAGTCTGCTTCCTATTAATCTGAAAAAAAATCTCTGGAAAGTGTTTCTCGGTGGCATGGAGTCGACTCTGTCTTGTTTCCAGCTGACAGCACGCACTCAGTGGATGAAGGGGGGGGGGGGGGGGGGGGATGGGGGGGGGGGGGGAGGAGAGGGGGGGTGGTTTCAGAGGCTAAAAGTGAACTTCTTCTTTTTCTCTTTAAGGTGTTTGGAAGTTATCTGAGGGATTCTGGCAGAGCTGCTGAACCTGCACATCACGATGAGAGCTTCACTCACTGCCGTCTGCCTCGGTGAGCAACACGTCTGTCTCTGCTGCTTTATAAATCTACCATCCTGGATTTCAGAGTCCAGTCCCCTTCAGAGTCCTGTCCCCTTCAGAGTCCTGTCCCCTTCAGAGTCCTGTCCCCTTCAGAGTCCTGTCCCCTTCAGAGTCCTGTCTCCTTCAGAGTCCAGTCCCCTTCAGAGTCCTGTCTCCTTCAGAGTCCTGTCCCCTTCAGAGTCCAGTCCCCTTCAGAGTCCAGTCCCCTTCAGAGTCCTGTCCCCTTCAGAGTCCTGTCCCCTTCAGGATCCTGTCCCCTTCAGAGTCCAGTCCCCTTCAGAGTCCTGTCCCCTTCAGAGTCCTGTCTCCTTCAGGGTCCTGTCTCCTTCAGAGTCCTGTCCCCTTCAGAGTCCTGTCTCCTTCAGGGTCCTGTCTCCTTCAGGATCCTGTCCCCTTCAGAGTCCTGTCTCCTTCAGAGTCCAGTCCCCTTCAGAGTCCAGTCCCCTTCAGAGTCCTGTCCCCTTCAGGATCCAGTCCCCTTCAGAGTCCTGTCCCCTTCAGAGTCCAGTCCCCTTCAGGATCCAGTCCCCTTCAGAGTCCTGTCCCCTTCAGGGTCCAGTCTCCTTCAGGATCCAGTCTCCTTCAGAGTCCTGTCCCCTTCAGAGTCCAGTCCCCTTCAGGATCCAGTCCCCTTCAGAGTCCTGTCCCCTTCAGGATCCAGTCTCCTTCAGAGTCCTGTCCCCTTCAGAGTCCTGTCCCCTTCAGAGTCCTGTCCCCTTCAGGATCCAGTCTCCTTCAGGATCCAGTCCCCTTCAGAGTCCTGTCCCCTTCAGGATCCAGTCTCCTTCAGGATCCAGTCCCCTTCAGAGTCCTGTCCCCTTCAGGATCCAGTCCCCTTCAGGATCCAGTCTCCAGTCTCCCCCCCTCACACACAGCAGCGTCCTCCTCCTGTAGATTAAAGACGTCTTTTGTGTTCTGTAAACATGATGATTGTGTTACTTTTGTTTCTGCTGTTATCTGAACCTCCCTCTTCCTCCTCCTCCTCCTCCTCCTCCTCCTCCTCCTCTTCCTCCTCCTCCTCTTCCTCCTCCTCCTCCTCCTCTTCTCCTCCTCCTCCTCCTCCTTCTCCTCCTCTTCCTCCTCTTCCTCCTCCTCCTCCTCTTCCTCCTCTTCTCCTCCTCCTCCTCCTCCTCCTCCTCTTCCTCCTCCTCCTCTTCCTCCTCTTCCTCCTCCTCCTCCTCTTCCTCCTCTTCCTCCTCCTCCTCTTCCTCCTCCTCCTCCTCTTCCTCCTCCTCCTCCTCCTCTTCCTCCTCTTCCTCCTCCTCCTCCTCTTCCTCCTCTTCCTCCTCTTCCTCCTCCTCCTCTTCCTCCTCTTCCTCCTCTTCCTCCTCCTCCTCTTCCTCCTCCTCCTCCTCTTCCTCCTCTTCCTCCTCTTCCTCCTCCTCCTCCTCCTCCTCCTCCTCCTCTTCCTCCTCTTCCTCCTCTTCCTCCTCTTCCTCCTCCTCACTGCAGCGCTCCTCCTGTCCTGTGCCTGCCGGGCCAAACCGAATGGATCAAAGAACAAGAAGCCAAAACAAGGTACAGCAGCCTGTAATCGATCCGTCCTTCTGTTATGATGTCACTGTGATGATCTCTCTCCCTCTGCAGACGCGTTTAATTCACTTTTAAAATCTGACTCTGTCATTTACAAGAAGTCTCTGAAGATTTACAGACTGGGCACCAGTACTCATTATTCATAGTAAGAGAGAAACTCAGTGGGTCAATCTGATGCACTTAAATCAAATTAGCTGAAGTACAGATTTTGGGGATATTGGCAGGCCAACAATGATGGCTGATATCAGCAAACATGCTGCAGATACAGAAGATTCCCATTGGAGGAAACAGGCTGTAGATCCAAAAGCAAATTTACAAACAACAAATACAGCATGCAAATAAAAGAGGAAGTGTATCAAATACCTCGGATTCAGGAGGAACATTGTGGAGTCCGTCCCGGCCGTGGCATGGTGGACCAGCTCTTAACCTTTGCAGGGCTTCTACTTCTTGTATTTAACCTTGTTGTTTTGCTTTTTCTGGATAAAATCATTTAACGAGCAATCCCATTTAAGACTTTAAAAACAAGACAAACATCCATGAAAGTTTGGAAACTGTCCAAGTTCAAAATGTTATGCTTACTAATAATGCTGCAATAGTGATAACGATGAGGTTTCCTGTCTGATGCATTTGACCAAGTTGTATAACAATATGTTATGTGAGAAAATATCATTACATGCATGTAAGCTTTTGCTGACTGTAAAGTAAGGGAAGGTCTAATTTGGCGGAAATTTGAAAGGTTGAATTCTGTAACTCTGATCATGAAAGAATCTGAAAGAACTGTTTCATCTCCAAAAGCACTTTTAGAAAACAAAGTTTAAAACTTAAAGTCTAAAAAACAGTCTTGACTCTTCTTCCTGATCCTTCATTTTCTTTTTGTTTCTCGCTCCACAGTCATTCCTGCCATAGAGTGTGATGTCAGAGCGGGAAAGATCAATCTCCCAGAATTCATAGTGAAGTGCCCCGCCCACTGTAAGGAGACCAAGCAGCAGGTGTATGGAACCACTGTGTACGCCTCCATCTCCAGCATCTGCAACGCCGCCATCCACAGGTCACCCCCCCCCCCCCCCCCCAACCACCGAGTGATGGACGCCAAATAAAAGTCACATCACGCCTCTGAAGTCATATTCAACTTTTCTATTTGCTCCACAGCGGGGTCGTCACGAACGCCGGAGGAAAGGTGATCGTGAGGAAGATGGCCGGACAGAACATCTACAAAGGCAGCAACTCGTACGGCGTGCGCTCGCTGTCTCTGCCCAAGTGGAGGGAGTCGTTTGTTGTCTCAGGTATCAACCATGAGGAATTCAAAAAATGTCAAACAGGATTCTGCAGAAAGATCAAACCCACAGCTCTGTTGTGTTTCAGTGGGGAAGCCGAAGAAAGGAGTGATCTACCCGTCCACTCTGGACTACGTCCCCTCCAGACCCACATACGTCAAAACAGGTGAGACCAGAGTCTCTCTCATGTCATATAGAGCGAGAGGGAGAGAGAGGCTGGTGACACATTTACCAAACCAGAGACGATCAGTGAGGTACTGTAAGGTCACCAGTTCATGTCCCGGTCACAACATTTCCTCCAGAGGTCGTCTTAAGTCTGGCTTGTCCCCCGATTGTATAAAAGTCGGGGTGGCATGTCAGCTCACACTGTACGACCCGATTGTCGGACACGGCCGGAGAGCTCACACTGTACGAGTGAAATCAGGACAGAGTGTTGACAATTGTTAATAAAGTTTCATTTAAAAAAAACAAAGGACGACGGTTGGTTAAAGAGAAGAAAGTGGAAGTTGTTGTAGGATATAGAAAAGTTGATACACTCGTAGATATATGGAGACAAGTTTCAGAAAAGTGCTGCACTGATGATCTGTACAGAAAAAAAAAAAAATGCCAGGTTGCGTCCTGCCGCTGGTCGCCATGACTACAGTCCTCCCTTGTCTCTCGTGATTATATTGTAGTCACACACAACTTCTGCCGGACCCTTTCATGACGAGCAGCCTCGAGTCAGGAGAGACCCTGGGATTGTCGGGAAGAATCAGAGCTCAAATCGGCCCGATGATCCTGCAGAGTGAGCCGGGCTTTAACCACACCCTGCTTCAGCTACAGACAGAGAGGACAAGCGAGAGGACAAATGAAGCAGAGCGGCGTTTAAAAAAATGAGATCTTGAGGATGTTAGTGAGTCACCCAGACGAGCGGCTGACATGTTGAGTTTTGCTCTCAGTGTGTTTCTGCAACAAAGACAAAGTTGTGTTTTCTGAATATTTGAGTGAGAGAGTTACTGAAGAGATCAGAACAGGAGGAAGAAGGGTCGCTGCTTCTCTGGGGACAAAAGGTCGCCATGGAGGCTTCCCCACGCTTGACTCCGGGCGTGTTGAGCGGCGCTCAGGTTGAACGAGGAGTCAGAGCGCTGCAGTCTGCTGAAGAATGTTAAGAATGCATAAGTACATGGCGGTTCCTGTAGACGCTCTTCCTCCGCGTTCATCCTTCATGCACTCGTTCGTCTTCACCTGTCGTCTCTTTGCAGGTCAGAAGGAGGCCAAAACCACGGCGCTGCCCACGACGACAGCACCTGAACCTACCACGACTACAACACCTGAACCCACCACGACTACAACCACCACGCCGGCTCCGACCACCACTGTACCCCCGACCCCGCCCACCACCAAGGCTCGGGCTGCGGTGCATAAAGTCAGAGATGCAGGTGATTTAAATAAACATCGTGTTGCATACATACATGTAGAGACAAAGTGGATCCATGTTGGTTACACCGACCCACTCCCTGTAGGTTACACCGACCCACTCCATGTAGGTTACACCGACCCACTCCATGTAGGTTACACCGACCCACTCCATGTAGGTTACACCGACCCACTCAGGAGATCCAGCGTGGCCGAGCCGATGTAGAAACTAACAACTTTAGCAGCTTGTAGTTAAACTGAGTGATGAAGACGGAGGACTGCAGGTCTGGGGTCATGTTGGTTCAGCTTCAGATCACTGACTGACGGACTTTCAGAGACACGTCAGCTGGGAACAAGAAGAGAGCTGCAGCTTCTGTCTTACGGCGAGCTAGGAACATTATGTTTAAGGCGACTCATTTCCTCGTTGATTACATGAAAATTAACTTAAGCTAGGTGACTAAACACTCAGAAAACAGTCAAAATTGAGCATTGTTTATTTAACAGCCAGTCTGGAGCGTCAGCGACCAAATCAGTTTGATTCTGTTGTTTCCTGTGGGAGTGTCCTAACCCCACGCGTAGACGAGGAACGTGAATGGAGGGGGCTCTAAAAGGCTTAGCAGAGCTCGTTAGCTTCTTAGCTTCTTAGCTTGTGGTACGAAGTGGAGATAGTGCTGCATTAATAATATCCACATCATGTTTTAAATGTTGACCTTTGACCTGTGTCGGAGAAAAACTTTTACTGACCTCACTTCAGTTTGTCCACCTTCAAAATAAAAGCACCACACTTCAGTTTGTTCACCTTCAAAATAAAACCACCACACTTCAGTTTGTCCACCTTCAAAATAAAAGCACCACACTTCAGTTTGTCCACCTTCAAAATAAAAGCACCACACTTCAGTTTACCACGATAGTCAACGCTTGTGGCTCACATTAGTCTTCGGTCCTTGCAGGATAACGTCCAGGTCGCTTACATCGGGATAGTAGAGCTTTATGGCAACAGTCTTTAACCAGAGATATATCCCCGGATAGTTCTCACGGGCAGTTAGGACACTCCAATAGGAAACGAGAGAATCAAGCTGATTTGGTCCCTGACGCTCGCTCGCGTCTCGTGCTGTTTGGACTCGCTGCTCGTTTGTTTAGTTACATTTAAAATAAATCTCAAAGTCTTTAAAGAGTTCAGGATCTGAGACACTCTGAGAGCAGAGTCAAACAAAAGAGCCCAGAGTCCCCTGACGACTGACTGACCACGTGATCACCAGACCGTTCATCACTCTTATTAATTGAAAACATAATGAGATGGTAATCATGTCGAGTCATCCTCCCTGCTCGCTCGGGGACATGAATGCAGACACACGGAGCTCGCTGTATCTTCAGGTATGTGTGTAAACGAGATCGGCCGTACGCCAGGAAACCCTCAGAGCGTTTCTGTCTCTCATTTTCTGTAACGTTATCTCTCCCCTCGACATATCGGCACCACATTTGTCTTTCTTCTGTCCAGGCAGCAGCCACCCGTACCTCGCCTCTGTGGCCGCCGCCAGCTCAAGTAAGTGAAGCGAAGCGAACAGGGGTTAGGCTGGTGTCTGTCTGTTTGGTGGCATGTCAGGTTACCGCCTGCTTCATGTTGGGATGTACGTGATGATGGGGGGGCGGTGTGAGATGAAGTTAAACCAGCATGCAGTTTAATGATATTTTAGATTTAAAGAATTCATCCAGACTGGATACAAGAAGGAGAAACACTCAGATAAAGGCTGCATGGGGTGTAAAGTTTACAACTTTCCTGCAGAAGTCATTAGCATTGTGGCGCAGATAGCAGCTGGGTCGCGCCCCATGTAAGGAGGCTATAGTTCTCCAAGCAGGCAGACTGGGTTCAAGTCCGACCTGTGGCTCCTTTTCAGCATATCATTCCCGATTTCCTAATCTATCCATTGTCCTATCAAATTAGAAAAAGTCTAAAAGCCCCCCAGAAAAATAAATAATGTGAATCATGTGCTGCAAAGGCGTCACTGGTTACTACACATGTTTGTCTTCCTATCAACGGCACAGCAGGATAAACATCCTTCAGAGTTACCTGATGGTTGCTCAGTGGACAAATTCAAAGATTTAAAAGTATAGAGCGCTACAGGAATGAGTCCTAAAACCAGGAAGTAAGTTAGCATTTGAGCGCCATGGGGTCTAAAGTCAACGGGGATTTTGAATGTGTTTGTGGTTAGACTCCTGAAATAAGGTCTGTGGTTAACACAAGCTGAAGAGATGTTGGTGTTTTGTTAGAGCACATAAACTACGTTAGGTAATACCTCCACTTGTGAAGTTTGAAGTTTTTACTCGTCTTTAAAAAGGCGGTTGCTAACAAGCGGCTAAATGTGACTACAGCGGTTGTCGGGGACATTAAAGGTCATCACGCCGGACACAGAGGGCGGGAACTCTCTCACTAGTCGGAGATGTCTCCTGTAGGTTTAATCTTTAGGTTAAGGTGAATATTATGTTAGTAAACTATTTATTAAGCTACGTGGATTAGTTTATCGGAGATCGTCTGAAGCATAACGCTAGTGATGTCACAATCATCCCACCGTAGTGTCGTTAGCTTTAGCATAACGTTAGCTTTTTACTTCTGTCGGCCGCATTAACGCTTCAAACATCATAAAAATGGCGTTCATCTGTGAAGATTATCCTGCTGAACAAAACGCCTACGCTTCAGAAACGTGTGTTTACCACAGAGATTATTTTCTGCAATGATCCAAAATCCAATGAAAACATCCCAGAGGCTTGTTAGACCCCATGGTGATGCTACTTCAGGGTTGGCCTACAAAAATACGTCATATGGTTTGTTCTCTATAATGGAACCACTTGTTTGGCACTCAGACATCTATGGGCTTAATGAATGACATACATGTTTGAAATCAGGTCGATAAGATGTGCAGAAATGAAGATCAGTAGATAGGGGTTCACTTGTGTTTGTTGAAATGTGCCCACGCTTTGTTATTCTCAACACCGGTACAGGACAGTCACAGAGCAGCCAGGCAAAGACTCACAGCCAAGGTATGTCCATCTTCTTCACTTTCCTGAAAGTCCTAAAACGTCACATATAACTCGTCTGCTCTGACTTAACGCTGGCGTCTCTTCAAAGTCTTCAGAGGAAGTGCCTATCCCAATAGATTCCACAACGTGCCAGTGCAGGTAAACCTTCACGCTTCCTCATTCGACCTTCATCTTTTAACATCTTTCTTTCTTTTGTTCTGATAAGCGTTAACTCTGCATGTCGTGTGCTAACATGCTTTAAACACTTTCACTCGTCTTCCAGCAGGGGGTGCTATGTTCTGGAGACGCCGACACTCTGTCTGCTGTCTTTGAAATGAAATAACATTCGAATATAGAATTATAACTTTGGATGTTCTGATGTGTCATCTCCCTTCACCTGTGATACTTCAGTGTTTTCAGCCTGATGGTGGATTCAGCTCAATGCTAACATTAGCATGTTAACATGCTTTCTGAGGGTGTGGGTCCATCTGGAGTTTTCTTTCTGAGAACCCGCCCACTTCTCTCCTTAGAAAATAAAAGTTCCCAATGAGAAGAGAGCGTTTGCAGCAGTCAGTCCTGTCAGAGCTCTCCACCTTTTTTTAGTATAGATTTCTGAGTGCTTCGAGTTGAAAATCATCCCACTTTTAAGGGCGTTAAAATAAGATATTCTCCGTAGTTTTGTCTCCAGCGGATCGTGTCATGTGACCACTTCCTCCTCCCTCCGTGTCCAGACAAAGTGGGAGGGCGAGCATACTGAAAACTCTTCATTTACAATCGGTCACTTTAAGGGGCGCAGTCGCCTAGTGGTCGAAGATGTGATTTGAGGTTTTACTCTTTAGGTGTCATGT